TATTACGTGGGAATACCATGAACTACTCAAGAAAGACTCCCACGATGCAGTGCAGTGAGAGTTGACCGCTTGTTATCGTCGTACCATTCGCTACAGAACAAAGTGTGTTTTGTGATTTTCAAGAGTTTTTGCAGGCAAGTTTTCAAACATTTTAACCTACTAGTACACATGTTACTCGAACATTGATGTTAAGCATAATGTACACTAAAAGAATTGTAGTTTGTTATACTGTAGTCGTTTTTTTAGCAGGCAATGTTTTGTCCATCAGTTTAAAGGTTCATTTTCCAAGATGGCGTGTCGGGTATTATGGAATACTAGGATAAATGGATAAACTGAAAGAAAAGGACAAAAAGAAGGAACCAAAAGCTTCAAAACAACAAAAGAAACCGAACATTCAAAGAGCACCTGTTAAGAAATTAAACTTAGACCGACCTTCTAGACCTAAACCCAGTAGAGATGACTCCAGTGTTAGCAGCGATGAATCGTTCCATTCTGATGTATCGTCTGTAATGGACTTCGTGCCATCAACTAAAGAACCAGAAAACGAAGACGCTGAATGTATCTTCTGTAACGGAAAATTTTGCGAAGATGAACGAGTGAAAATTTGGGTTCAATGCTTCATCTGTTCTCTGTGGGCTCACCTTGATTTTACCGGAGCAGAGAGAGAAAGTTATAACTGTGACTTTTGTAAATAGACTCGAAGCAGAAATAACATGCACATAATCTTAAAAATATGGTTTTTATAGTTAAGAATAACTATGTTTTATGAAGTCTAATTAGTTTTTCAATGGTTTAATTAAACCATCTATTCCATATTACCCTCCATTTGTGAGTTTTTTAAATATATTTTTTTATAACAACAAAGTAAATAATATTATTTTTTACAAGTGGCAATTCATTACAATTAGTTATAGTATTTACTCATGATGATTTTGAGATTTTTATTCAAAAACCAGTAAAGTTATTTTTAAAAATGTAAATGGTATTCCATAATACTCTCCTCTCCTCTACGTAATAAACAAGGGAGCAAGCCGAATCCCAACGGGAGCTCTGTACTTCAGATATACTAATAATATATCCTAATAATACTAATATATTATAAAAATAGCAGATTGTCATTGGCAGAGGCAAAAGAGTGGAAACATCATTCGCACTTGTTCGCAGAAAGTCCTTTGTTCGCAGCGTCCGTTATTCGAGGTATATGTTATACGAGGCACCACTGTAATTGGATATAGACGACATGTAGACTACGGGTTTGATTTGTAATTAATTAATAAAACTGATTTATGAGACTATTCTTATAACGTTTAATATCATTGATCGATATAAATGCTACCCTACGGAACACGGGTTCGAATCTGGGTCGGTTGCTCAATAGTGGGTGAATTGACCCACAGTTCTAGCTTTTTAATTTAATGGAGGAGCCTAGTTCACACACACTTCGGGTAATTGCTTTGACGTCGTTAATACCGCTTCATGCCGCTGATTACATGTTCAGATTATGATTTTAACACACGACTAACTAGAAAAACAAATTACCGCTTACGTTTAGAATACTTATAAAACACATATTTCACGCTAAAAATATACAGTAATTTCAGTTGAATAAAGAAATAAATAAATTTTTATCATTGAATCAGTTTTCATTCGAGTTTTCATTCATCAAACTTATAACTCGAAAAAACTTTGGACGACTACCAATTTAATAAGTCGATAACTATCAATATAATTCAATCTTTGTTGTGAGGAGGANACGACTACCAATTTAATAAGTCGATAACTATCAATATAACTCAATCTTTCGATTAATTTTTTGCACGTTCTCCTGGCCATAAACAGAAAAATGGAGAATGATACTAAATGAATGGCTCGTGATTTACGATCATAATGTTCATTGGATCAATTTACAATTGATAAACTATGACTGGTTCGACTTTATTGCTTATCGTGCGATTTGTGTGTCGTTCAGAGGCGAACGACAAAAATTGCACGAAACTTGCGTAGTGTGAACCGAGCTTTAAAGACAAATTGAAATGTTGCCGACAGGTTCGACCAATCGTCTTTGTCGATTGTCAAGGTCGAAAGAGATGATTGGTGGAATGGGACGTTGACGCTAATTGTCGTCTTAATTGTATCGTCCGAATGCATCAGCCTTTATATAGTTTATATAAAATATAATATTTTAAAAGTATATTTAATTAATTTTAAAATATAATTAACTTTTTCCAGTTTAAGAAAAGTTAAAATGGATCAAAGAAAATTAATGGAAAATGCAAATACCATCACCGATATGGCAAAAGTATGTTTGAGGTTTTAATTTTAGGCTTTTTAAAGTTAATTAATTATCGTTTTTTTGTAATATATTTTAAAAGAATGATTTATTTCCTACCACGCAATTTACTTTCTAAAGTTCTAGAAGTAGGCAGCTTGCATCTTTTATCACTTAATCTTCTTAACGTAAATACAAGATATATTGTTGTTGTTTTTGATTTATAGTTTAATTGATTTTGTGGATATTCTATCTGTCAGATAATAAATGAGATATTTTCTTTTACTTTTTTTTCAGATGCAGACTACAATGTACGAACTTATAATAGACATGAACCAGAGACAAGAAGCTATGACAGATCGAATAACTTGTTTAGAAGATAGATTAAGTTGCATTCAAGAGCAGTTGAGTGCTTTGCCCGGGGTTATATCTAACCAATTAGGAAACCCAGTAACAACGACAACTACTACTACTACACCGCCGGCGACAACTACACAAGCGACAAATACTCAGACTCCAGCACCTCGTTTCTGTTCGGCACATCAGAGGCACTTAAATCCCGATGACGTCTCCGTATCACTTTATCCTAGGCCAAATTGGCAACTTGGACAGTTTCCTATGAGAAGAAGAAGAGCCTCTTACTATCCGTTTGTCGGCAGTAGAACGCAATCTAGTGAAAATTAAATTATTTTTAAACAGGACACACAAATATTAATTTCAATATATAAAAATAAACGTATACATATATATATATAAATAACAACGAAATTTTATTTAATAATTAATTCCTAATTACACGTGGCCTTGATGTGTAAAAAACAAGGGGCAAGATTTAAGGAAGAATAAAGGGGTAAAGTCACTTTTGTTGACTTAACATTTCCTATTTTTCTGCAAGAAAAAGTTTGCTTTTATATTTTTAATTTAAATTATTTATATTATCGAAAATTATATAAATTTATAATAAATAAATAAGGAAATGTTTTAACGTACGATTGGCTCCTGATATAAATTCGTGCGATGTAATTGGACAAGTTTAAATTAGACGTTTTGAAAGGGCCAATTAACAACGCTCTTTTACTGATGCAAAAGTATCAAAAAAAGAAAAGCCCATTTGTACTCTGTACAAACGAAACGCATACACATCTTTTAAACATAGTTCAAAGAATCTCTACACATTTTAAGGATTCACTTCAACGGTCCCTACATCGTGAAAATAAGACGTGTAAAGTATAATTTAAAATAGTTAAGTATATGTAGCAAACAGATAGGATACTCATAGTTTCATGCAATGACAAGCTTCCATAGTCTTGTGATTGAAAGGACCGTCCATATATAGAATTTCACCTGGTTAACCAATACATAAGGAAAAAAAAATTATAAATTTCCATAAAACCCCATTATTTTTGGTTTACCTTGTGTGGAAAGTAGATAGAGACAACATTAAAGTAATTTATCTTTCTCATAATGATAATCAATGGGAAAGAAGAGCAAAACAAAACTATATGCAAAAACTATATTTATATTTATAATATTTTTTGCAAACAATTCTGTAATTGTGGATTATTTTTTAAACTTTTCATTAAAAAAAAAGTACACGTCTGTACATGGTTTGAATCGTTGTTTCTCCGATGGTTTTCGTTGTAATTCAGTCCAAAAAGTCATTCCAAATTAACGTTACTGTTACGTTCTTTCGGAATAAATTTTCCAATATAAGATAGATTTTCTGTTTAAAAAAAACCCATTGTTTTTTTTGAAAAGTCATCAGAGAAACAACAAAAAGTAAATTTTAAGTTGCACAGAGTCGTGTACTTTTTAATTCCGATTGTTTCTGTAAATAAATCCTTCCGTGTAAAGTGTTTTTTTTTTAGGATTGATAATATATATTTCTTATATATTTAATGTTTACTATTTTTTTCGAAAGAGATGTCCTTCGTTTTCAGTCTACCTTCGAGTGAATTTGTTTTATAGCAACGATAAATCCCCAAGGATTAGCAAGTTCTTGGGTTTGTAAAGTGCTTCAAGTTTTTTCTCGACACTGTAAAAATCAAACAAGAAAATCAAAATGTAATTAAAGAAATGACAATTTCGAATATTTTTCATGTGAATAAAATTAAAATATATCCCGCATTTTATATTTTAAAAACTTAAAATATTATATATATATATATATATATATGTGCTAACGTTGTTAATAAACTGTAAAAAAAATATTTTCAATTAAGTTGCATTTCTGCATTTTCTCTGTGAATATCAGATGCGATGATATAAAATATGAGGAAATAAATCAATGAAATGTTCACATCTCACTAAGATACAAAAGGTATTTTTGGAATTTATAGACTGGACAGAAAACAAAGTTGTTTTTTTTTTTTCTTTTCTTTGATAAGTCACCTACAATGCCAAATATTCTTATTGTAATTATTTATTTATTTGCTGCTAAGTCTATGAATTTTACTGTACATTCCAATGAAATCTGAATTAATTTACTGTACATATGTTCAAGTACAAGAAAATAAAAGTTTATTTCATAATTTTTTTATGCTTTCATTTAATTAATGGTCGAAAAATGGGGAAAATATAGTAGGCTCTTGAGATTTAATCATTTCTTCATTGTTAAATAATTTTTTAATTGGGCTACAATTTGAAAAAA